ATAAGTCTACAATAAAGCCTAAAAACGCTGAATATTCGTATTGTTGAATAGAGTATTTAGGCTTTAGTTTAATTGTGTAGTATTATTTGATCATAACTAARTATTTTCCACCAAGYATTTCAAAGTTTTATAGATTTTAGCATTTCAACATTTTTTCGAACATAATCAATCAACTTCCAACAAATTTCTAATTATATCCAACAATTCCAAGTCTATACAATTTGATGGAATGTTTTCGGCTGGGTACTTTACGAGAGTWAACTTAGYGTATCTCGGATTTCGTCGTATTTCGTGGCTTTTCGTTTTGTTTTCATGATAACGACCCGACCGAAATGTCGATACTACGAGACAAAACTTTTCATGTCGGATGTGCTGGTTGCAAAAATTCCACAAGTTGTCCGTGTCTGGAAGGAAATTCACATCGTCTGAAATTAAACTATACCTACAGACGATATTTTGTTGATATATATGTATATATATATATATATATATATGTTGATTATAATTATGACATTTGCTCATATTTATAATAAATTCTTGTTAAAAACGAAATAATAATAATAATTATCTCGTCTGAAATCTCTGGCACGCACTACAAGACTTTGCGACGGCGTTCGGACGCGGTCGCTGAGCCCATGAAACATACTTGACTATCCACTGTAAACGCGGGCGAAGAATTTATAATTTTTTAGATATTTTTTTTTTCTTTCGCAATTTAATTCGCGCGCGCGCGACACGATAGCAAGCATAATAATTTATTATTTAATAATATTATATTGTAAATTCAGATTCTTGATGTTCGGACGCGTCTCGTCTACTACCACACGCCACAAGTCTAGGTCTGCTGCTGTCTCGCTTGTATATTAATTATTTATCCTTCGTCATTCCATARAGTTGATCATAATATAATAATAACATCGATGACAGCTTATAATATTCGATTMTGTCATGTTTTCGAGTACAATAATACACAAAAGCACACAACAAAAACCTACATGAATTCGTATTTGCATTTTCGAATGAGACGACTAGCATGTACTTACTATACAATATAACAATATTACTGGAAAAAATTAATTTTTGTGTTTAAATTTTCTAAAAAATTTTAATCGGTTCAACAAATCTACTCAAATCTATAATAAAAACAAATAAATCAGTTCTCGTCAGCTGATATTAACAAAAAA